TTTTTTTAAAAAAGGGCATTGCCTTGCTAATTACCTCAAATATCTGTGCAAACTGAGTGTCTCTGTTGGAAAAGATGGCATGGATGCAGTGGATAGCATACTTGGCCTGGCGCTGTGGACCCTTTTTAGCCTTGTGCTGAAGAACTGGCAACAGTACCCTGGAGGATTAAAGGGCAAGCATTTTAACAGAGCCACACCAAAGACATTTAACTACATTCCCTCTACCGCATTACAAACCACCTGCATAAGACAACAAAGGAAGCAACTGAGCTTTACAGCACCGCCACGCTACTGTGTGTCCATGAAGCTTTTGGAGAGATCGGCTGGTGGAGAAGTCCACTGAGGACTCCTGTTCACTGACTTCCCCAGCTGCCCGTTTCCTCCCCAAAATGGAACAAAAAAAAAAAAACAACCAACCACTCACCCATTAAAACAGGCAGCACACACTTTGTGGTCATCAAGACAGTGGGCTTGACTGCGACCATTCACGACAGGTTTAGGAGAGTGCTGTACAGTACCCATGCTCTGGTGCTGAATGCGATTTTATACCACTTACGATTTGATATGGGGAAAACTCTCTTCCATCTTGCTCCCAGTGTTCTTAAAAATCTGCAGCGCTGCTTCTGCCACCTTCTCGTCATCCATCTTCAGGCAGCCCAGAAGAGACTCAAAGGTTTCCGCGGAATGGAATGAAACAGGATGAGTGAACGAGAGCACCTGAAAAAATGCAGAAGAATCTTACTTTGCTCTTGCCCAGTTGCTAAATTGCCCAATTTGCCAATTGCTTTTTTGTAAGTTGCTAATGTGATTCCCCCAAGTGGCTTGAGTGCTGCTGAGGGTGAGGAGGTATTAGTCAACCAGAGCCTTTCAGAAGAAAGAGTACTTGCAGAAACGCAGTGCTATTAATGATGGATGTGCTTCTCCTTCAATCAGTGCTAAATCTCCAGTATGGGCCTGTGATACCCGAGACATGTTAAAGGAAGAAGCTCTCGAAGGAGTCTGCCTATACTTCGTTGGTCTCCAGTGTATGGTCTCAGGGTCATGCCTGCAAGCCAAGGTATGAAAAATCTGTCTGCTCGATTTGGAACAGCCAATTATACAACACAAATAACTGACGATTTTCAGCTTAAAAAATAAGATGAGGTTTTTGCTTCTATGACAGCCAGGTTAATACATTTTCCAGAAATATTTAAAGAAAAAAACAAAATGGATATTTCCAGAAAAATTAGTCCATTTTCAAATGGTGGATTTGCACTATGAAGGATACAGTGCAAAATTACTTATACTGGCAGAGTTCAGGTTTCTGCTGCAAACGCATATTTGGTTTTGAATAGGGCATTGTGAAGGTCAGGAAAGCACACTGGTGCTCTGAATCCCCGTGGAATTGCTTGTGAATCAGTGCTGTGTGTGTTTACCTTCAGCAGTTCCAGGCCAGCCCTAATGGCCTGCTCTGTAGGCACCCCTTCATCCTCGTCATCGGCAGTGCCATCAATGGACTTGTTGACTTGTTTTATGAGGGCACTGAAGTCAGAGAAAGAGAGAGACCATGTCTGAGCACAGATATGAGATCAGCAGAAAACAAAACAGACAAGTCAGTCAGTCCCAAGCGCAGTCAAAGTACCTGATGGATTCAGTGTCTATGTGAACTGGAGCAATTCTTTCCAGGAGAAACTTCACCATTTCCAGGAATGGGTTGCTTGGCTGTTTGGGACTTCCAAGTTTTTTTGTGATTTCCCTCTGGAAAAACAAAACAAATCTTACTTAATCCAAACATTAATCTAAATTATTTAAATTATTTTTTGAGCACAGAATGATTCCTCATGATAAATTAATAAAAGGAATTTTCTTATCTGCATGCAGTTAATACAGTGCATAACTGTCTCAAACAGTTTGCGGCATGTTGTTGAAACGCAGGATCTTCGAATACAGGTATGTAACGCAAAGAGTCCAACTTGTTTACTTTGCCGTATTCCATTTTTATTGTGCATCTGTTGATGTAATTAATGAGAATTCCATCTACAGCAAAAACTTACCACACAGCCTTCAGCTTGTTTACAGGAGCAGGTCGGACTGACCAGCGTCTCCAGGTGGTTCCGGATCCTCTCGTCCTCTTCTAGAACCTGGGCTAACTTCTTCACAAAGTCCTGGGCTTTCCCGGGATCTGGCAGGTTCCCTGTTGGAGCAATGCATTCAGTTACGTTCCATACCAGGCTGGGAAGTGCAGTTGAGAAACCTCGCAAGAAAAAGATTTGTGCAAACAACTCACTTGTTATGACCATCACTTTGGAGAATACAGCCTTGCTGGAAGCTTCCGACTAAAAAAAGCAGAAAAAATATGATGCATTATTTTGTTTATGCCAACTGTCCTGAGATACGTAAGAAGCGACTTCAAGACTGACACACAAATAATTTCACACAAAGATCCTATGGCATCTGGGTGCATGTCTGGTTTGTCTATCAAATGCACCTAATGCACTTAAAAAGGACACTAATACAAAAGGTGACTACTCTTCAACACATGAGGTGAATATACAGTAATGTATTATGGATTGTCAATGACATTCTTTTTCATATAATTAATCAGATCCATTAACATTTTAAATGAAAGAGAAATATTTCAAAAGTGTTGTTTTTCCAGAGTTACTCTAAAGTAACCAAGAAAATTATACCTCAAGCAGTCAGGAAAAGTAAAAAAAACTAAAAACTTTAAATGATGGATGAATAATAAACACAAATTGTACAGTTCAGATGAAGTATTAAATGATATGAACATGTATTCTGAGATGCTTCCACACCTCTGCAATAAAACCTAAATAAAAATGAATTGTTCATTTTTATTTAGTGGAATTTAAAAACTACAGCTGTTTACAAGTCTATTCAACTTACTTTTGGCTGTTTTATTAAATCAAGCAGGTCTTTAACATGGTGCCTCAACATGTTCTGACATTTCCACATTTCATTCAAAGCTCTGTGTGAAACAGAAAAACTGAAAATGAATGTCTAATTCAAGAAGAAGCAAATAAAGACACAATTTTATTCAATATTACTGTAAAATACAAATTAAAAAAGTACAGTCTTCTCAGATTGTTTCAAGTTTTCAGAAGTAAATTTGTAAATAAGGAATAAGAAACAAAATGGGAATCACAAATATGGGAAAATACCATTCAAATATCTTAAGCTGACAGGGATTTATCTGTGAATGAGGCAATGATATCTAAACCTGAACTTACTTTACAGCATTGAAGTCTAGTGTTGCGTAAAGGTAATACAGACATTTCATCCTCTCCGCAGTTTCCAAGTTATGAGGAACCATATACTGAGCAAATATCCGTTCAACTAGCAACCTAAAAAAAAGCAAAGAATTCTGAGAAAACAAAATAGGACTAACACAGAACCTGGATAGAGTTCAACAATGGTGTCTCAAGTCAACATCGATGACTCAGCACTTAAAAGACATTAAACGTAAAGAGACCGATATTGCTTTAACATCCAAAATGTCTCTTTTCTTTTATAAAAACAAATTATTTGCTGTGCAGTGGTCCTGCTAGGTACTTCAGCAGTGGATAACGTGGATCCATTCCTTTATATGTAAAACTCTTTTGGGATTAAATGAGTTATACAAATCCAATTAATTATAAACTTAAAACATTGTTCTACACATAACTCACCTAATGGAATGTAAATTTAAAATTGGAAGCCAACGCCTTTACTGCAACTATTGAGAAATGACAAACCTTAGGTAATTCTATCTTGACAAACTATTTTCTCTTCTAATATCAATCAGTATCAACTGTAGCCGACAGAAATAGAGTCGACATATGTTTCTCTAAATTACAAAATGATTTAACTGGAAAATCATGCTCTTTACAATACATTCTATAAATAGGTTTTATATTACTGACACATCTTAAATACGCAGAGATCTTGAGTAACCCAATGCCAACCACTCCCTCTGCATCCCACCCCAAATATCTGCTGTGTTAATTCCCTCAAGTTCTAGTCAGTTGTGCATTAAGGACCTATTAAACATGACAGGTTGGTTAAGATCTTTCACTTTTTTCAAACATTCAGCCATCCTCGCTAAAGCTCTCCTCACTGTCATCAGGATCTTTAACACTCTAGGCATTTAATCTCTTGTTTAGACCAATTTAAAAAGGCTTATCCTCTTAATCTACAAAAGCAAAGGATTACAAATGTTTTATCAGTCTGCCAGTCCTAAACCTATAATCTTATCAACCTGAGGTGTTTGCTTTTTCTTCTGTGCTTTTAGCCTTAAGCAATACGCAAACCTGACAAAACCATAACCAACAGAGTGAGGAAGAAAATCAAGAGGTGGTCAGAAACAATCTTGTCATGTTCACATCTTGTCCTTCACATTACTGGTTCTTGGTTAAAACTGAGTTTTAATCATACAATAGTGTCTATCAATGATGAGTGAACTTTAATACAGATTATTTTAATTTGGTTATTCCTGTTTATGGATGTCATTCGTCACTCGGTTTGTAGGCTAGGCAGACGTTTGCTGAGCTGTAGTGACACAAACAAAATAGCTGTGTTGGCCTAATTTTATTTGGTGACAATACGTTTTAGAACAGGAAGTGACTAACAGTGGAAATCTAAAATTAATTCAAATGGCAAGAATTGCTTAACAAATATCTCAGAGCTTTATGCAATTGCTATTTTTCTTTTGTTGCCTTGTCTCAGTATGTAAAATTGAGTTTTAAAGTGGTTATTTATTTCTCTGTAAACTCAACACTTTGTTGGGATTGTGGGATTATATCAAATAGAATTCATTTTTAAATCAAAATGTTACCTTTCAGATATACTACTTAATGAACAACAGATTTCTTTCTCACCAGAACACAATTTTTCTCCACAACTGACAATGTAATAAAAGCCATTTCCACATGGCAGCAAGTCATGCAGTGAAAGATGAACAATCCTTCAGTATGTTCACTGCAAATAGAAAGAGAATTTGCAGGTTTCCTGGAGGTGTGTGGTAGCCACTAATCACATCAATCTACAAGTAACGTGTGAAGGGAAATCTATTGTCAGCTGTACATTGTGGAAGCTGAAAACACCCATAGAAAAATGCAAAGGCAACAATATGAATCATATCAAACCCGATTCTTGCTCCTCTATTCTACTGTATGGTTAAGGTTATAAAAAGAGTCTTGCAAGTTTGGTATGTGAGGCGAACAGTTTGATTCAAAGCTCCAATTTAGCCACCGCCCCACCCTGCTATAACCATAAATGCAGTTATAAACGAGAGGACGCCATTTGGCACATCAAGATGATCCATGGATCTCATCTAGCTTTTTCCCCGAAAGAAGGCAGGGAATCGGTTTTACAACACAGCTGGAGAGCTTTACCATACTGTCCCAACCCTATAGACAAGTAAATGCCTCCTGTAAGAGTAGTTAGACTGTAAGGAATCGGCTTCATTGGGCAATAAGCATGACAGGGAAAGTGAAAGCCCTTGTCGAAATGTGGACCTCTGGAATTAAAAGAACGCCGGATTCTTTATTCAATGAGTGCACTCACCTGTCATCAATGCTGTTCTGATAATATATATGTAGTAGTTTATCTTTTATCCATGATATCTGTTTGGTAGCTTCTTTTCCTGCCTCTCCTTGCAAAGAATATTTTTTATAGATCTGGGCCAACCCCATCATCGCTTCCTTTCGGACCCTCCACTGGGAGAAATAGAAAAAGCACATACAGCATGCCAATGTAATCGACATTTCAAAACCAGAGAGAGAGCCTTCATCCACTTGGGGAAGTAACAAGCACAAACAACAATAACATATTCCTACACTAAACCAGGAGCATAAAAACCAAAGTGTGCTTCACTGGCAAATACTTTGAAAAGTCCTTTTTTGAATCCATAAAACGTTTAACAAGTTCAGTGATCCATTATGTCTTACAGTATATAGATTTTTCTCAGAGATGTCGAATTGAAGAAACCTAAGATAAAGCCACAGCTCTCTGATTCACATCTATCAAGTGTGCTCAATTAGATTTTTCTCTGTGTCTCCCTTGGGAGCACATGAAAACTGGTGCAGATGTGAATTATAGTCCAATTTATTTATTCCTTCCTTTTCTGTGCCTCTGAAGTCTGAAGCATGACTGCTCCCAGAAACTGACAAAATAAATAAATGTAAAGTGTCAATCAAGACAGTGGAGCAATGACTTATTTTAAGCGTGTCTTATTCAGGAATAATTTGACAAGAAACCTCAATTTCTTTGATATAAAGGGTAAAAGAAATTTCCTGTAATGTCTATTTTTCATGTCGGAGATGAAATACAATGAAAGCTAAAGAGCTAAAGATCAATCAATTTCATAAAAGACAGAAGGCAGAGAAGCATGGATGCATACTTCTCCTGTAAGTTGAAGACAATAGAAAATGTGATCACTCAAAAAAAACATATTGTGTATTCCATAGTGATCAGTCAGTCGTGATACAAATTGGAACAAAAGGGCTATGACTTACAGCACATGGCAATGTCTTCATATAAATCTTAACTAGTATCAAACAGACTAAATTCCAAATGTAAATGTTCCTTTTAGACAGAAGTGCCCTGTTGATATAATTCTGTGGTTACATATGTCCAAACATACATATTGATTATCAGGGATGTTCATTTTCCACCTGCCACTTCTTGTTAAGCAACAGACAATATTACTCACAGAAAGTGCAAAAAATGAAATTAACAGCTGCTTCCAAACCTACAAAAATATCTCTTAAGGGAGAATGTACCATGTCCCCATTTATTTCATAATACAAACATTTCACCCCAAGCATACTTGCAATCACAGTATACAAAGCACCATACTTTTAGTTAAAAATAATGTTTACCTTGGTTTTTATCTACTTTTTAACTACACTTTTTTATATTACTCTTAGTGAGAGGGGTCTGCTTTGCACTTTTGAATCCTGTCATGTATATATACAGGAAAAATGAATATATTAAGAAAAGAATCTCATCTGTTTTTGTCTATTACTATGTTTTACTTTGACTCATTAACATTCAAAAATAGGTGGACATAAAACAACACATTAATTAGCCATCATTATTTTAAGAGGTCTTACCCGTTTATCTAATGTTCTTTCTCTGACAAAATTAAGCAAGTGGTCATTGACGAGGGACAGGTCCTTTTTAGCAGCTGTTACAATGGACACAATCACATCATGCCTGATGGCTTCTTCGGGGTCATGTGACCTCACTTTTAAATACTCTGGAAGACATTAACATATTGTAATAAGTGTACATACAAAGGCAAAACCACATGGACTACAGCTCTGACACTATTCTTTATGCATTACTTGACACCTCTCATTTCAGCTGTTTGACAATATTGCTAAAGTCAATATTTAACAAAGATAAACCATTTTGTAGAAAGTACAGACTTCAGCATGAACAAATGGAAAGCTGATGAACACAGGCCCTGGCTTTGAGTCTGGCTTTTGTATGGTCCCAAGGCTTGGCAAGAAATAAAGACATCTTAACAGTGTCTATTAACCTTTTCGTAGAAGATCCAACTTAATAGCAATTTTTGTTATTTGTTCTAAGTGTTAATGGATTCATGGATTACTTTTATTCATGAAATATGGTTAAAAAAAAAGAGTAACGTAGTATCTAAGCTCTTCCAAAACAATGTACTGTACCCATTATCAGGAACAAATGATAAGAATTTAATATTAAGAGTTCAGAAAAACATTTTAGAAAAGTGGATATTGAACTAGTGCTACGCTTTACCAGACAGCATGTACCTATGTACCGAAAATAGCACATATCTTGTCGTCTTCCTTGATATTTAAAGACAGCGATTTACTGCAATACCTGTTAGGTCTTTGGCTAAATCTGGGTGGTTCATAAGGCAGTGGCTTGCAAACTTTACACACTCTAGGCGTATAGGGACATGGATATCATTGAACCTGAAACAGATAGGAAAAAAAAACACTGTCATCAATTCTGAAAGAATAGAATACATTAATATAAACTGCTACAAATGTATGTGCAAAAGTTTGCTATGTGTAATAAAGTTTAATATGGATCACAGAAATAAAACACCACTTAACTAATTCAGCTCTTAGTAAATTTGGAGGTGAGCTACATTTCTGACTAGTGCACTGCTTTCAGTGCCAGTCTACTATGAAACTATTATCTACACTGCATACCATCATTACATAATAATGATTAAACTATGGTTGTACTAGATTTAAGATGGAAATTTGAAGTCAACTGAGTAGTTCACCCACATTTAACTACTGTCAATAGGTAACTCTTCAACCCTTTCTTGAACGATTAACTTCTACTCACACATTCAAAGTGGGAATTTGTACTACACATAGACATTCAAGAATACAAAGGTTTTGAACAGTACTTCATGAGTGAGCGATCGAAGGTTTCATACCAGACCCAACATCATATCAAAGGCAGAATACAATTGGCCACATACAACTATGGATCACATCTCTGAATAATCTATATCAGCATTACAGTAAAATCAAAGTACTTTTTGCTTCCCAAATGAGTTTATGCAGCTATGTAAAGGTCTTATATTATTCTATCAAGATCACGATCCACAGGAAATGTAAATTATAACCACACCTTCCCAGGTAACACTGCCAAAGGGGTTTGTTCTGAGCTGCCAGTTCGGAATCCTTCACCCCAAACATTTTGGCCAGCAGCTTTACAACCTGCAAGCGCTCGTCATTATCATTGCTCTGCAAAGAGACAGTATTTCTGAAATTTTCAAAGTCCAGAGTGTAATTTTAACATACTACATTGACAGGTAACAAAACTAAGAAAATAAAATTTAGTTTCAACAAGCAAAGAAGGTTTACTATCTGACTTTACGCTCAGCCTCACACAGATACTACAGTGCTATTCTTTTGAAAACCCAGTATAAACTGGAGACATATCTAGCTTTTGTACCTGCTCATGAAATAAACTACATTTTATGAACTACTACTTTCTGTAACCCAGTTCCAGATGCAGTAAAAGTGTCTATCTTGTCCCTGTTGGGGAATGACTGCACTTATCACATAGAATCAGGTCATTCAGGCACACGGCCTTCGGACTGAAGTAACATACTGCTCTCTTCTTCCTTAAATGACACAACCAGAATTTAACAATTTAATTTAATTTTACTTTACAAAGTGTTTATGTATTTATTTATGGGGAAGGAATTAAAACATCTTTATATTCCAAATGAAATGCAGAAGTGGAAATTAAATAAATAAATGAAAAACAAAAAGATGTGTCCTTGTTACCAGCACTTTCATCATTCTAGAAAAGCATGTCAGTATTGTCCACTATAGTAATAAACCAAACAGCTCTAAATCTTAGCCAGTTAGAAGACAGCAGCAATTACCTTAAGTTTAAACTCCAATTGCGGCAGGACAGACAACAGCAGATGGCTGTCTATGTTGTATAGCTCCAGAATCAGATCAAAGACGTGCTCTGACAGATCACTGACAGATGTCTTCCCAAGCATCAACACCTGGTTGAAGAACTACAAAAGCAGAAAGGTAGCACGGTCACATTCATGAATACAGGACATTAAACCGCAGCATATACTTAATCACAGCTCCTTGGAAACAAAGGATGCAGATTGCTCTACTCACAGCCAAGCACATCCAAAAGTTTTTTTTATTATAATTAGATCAAGTGCAGCCTCACCATTGCCATGAAGAGACTGTGCCTCCTGTGTAATAATGAAAACCCTCCATGTACAGAGGCTTTAATTGACACTGCTGGGAGCATTTGAAGCAAAAACATGAGGCATTTCCCAGCTTCCCTCGAGACCAGAGTTAAAATGATAAATTTGTCCAGGCAGGATTAACAACAGCATTGCTTTTAAAGGCTACAACCAGTCCTGCAAGCACAATTCCCCATATCATCCTTGGCAACGCAATGGCTCCTGAGTTCATGGAGAAAAGGCAACGTCTCGTCTGAACTCCTCACATTATGAAACAAAACTGTACCTCGGCACCATGAAAACTGAACTTTTATAAAAACCCTTATCAAACATTTCTGTATCTGTTTTAAATATTATATGCACAAAAGGAATGTGTGAGGGAAAAATAGAACATTTAGAATTTAAAAAGAAACTTAGTCAATGTTATTTTACCTTTCTCTGAATTTAAGGATCTGGGTCTCATGGAATAGAATTGGTAACATTTGACAACATACATTATTGTTCTATTTATCTGGAGCACAAGATTGTTTTGCATTATTGTGGCGTACTGAATGTTTCAGAGTTAGGAACTGAACTGAGCTTAGAACTAATATTGTACATGTAACATAATTAAATATACACTTCAAGATCCACAGTTTTATCTATAATTAATTTAGAGACTAGGACAAGGGCTTCCAGGCTTTATAAGGCTTTACCAAATGACTTAATTGAGACACTGATTTACAGGCATACTTGTACTCGAATACCTATACTGGTTAAATTATCTATCCACCACTTCTGGTACAGAACAAGAGACTTACAGCATAGTCCTGAATAAGAGCACAATCATAAAAAGGCTTTCTTTGATCTCTTCCACGAAGGATTAACATATTCCCGAATGCCAACATGAAAAGGCTACAATAGAAAGCAGCTAAAAAGAGTTTCAGCTATTCACCTCTGGTCTGAACAGCAAACCAGCTGTACTTTCAAAGAAAGTATCAATTCTCACTTACATTAGTGATGTATGGTTCAATGGCCTGCGCGGTCCTCTTCAGCAGAGCTTTGGCCAGGTCATAAGCCTGTTTATTTAAATTCTGCACAGAGAAAATAAAAAAAAACAATTAACAAAACAATACCTTGTAAGGCGTGTCTAATTCTAATCTTCCATAATTGTAGGTCTTTTGAAAATAATAAAGTAATTATAATGCTTACAAATAACCCCCTTCATATGGATTAGACTTAATGCGAAAGACATCAAATGTGGCTTAATATGCATAAAATCAAACCAAATTAGAACAAAGTTACATTCAATTCTCATGTATGATAAGAAGTTATATCTGTAAATTTGGGGTGTAAAAGGATGGTTGTGTAATGGTTAAAATGGTTTTATCCATTTTCTAAAATAAAAAAAAAATCAAACCAATGTTGTATTAAATGCATTAAGCATCTTATGAATGTTCCTGTGGCACCTACAAATCACAAAGCAACTGTATTTACCTTATGCGCAGGTACCAGATTCACTAAAACAGTGTCCAACAGCTCCTGAGACACAGTATCCCCTTCACAAATAATGGAACCCATCAGATCCACCATGTGCATATGGACCTTCTGGTTGTGGCCATTGCTGAGGAGTTAAAATTAATTGTTGAAAATCCCTTCCAAGTCTGAAATCACCTAAACCATAAATTTGTAACCTTTCCCAAATGTTCATTAGGCATTTGCCTTATGTGGGCACACGCAGGGTAAAGAAGCAGGAATTAACAAAGTTAAAGGAAAACAAACGTGGAAATGTGTTCAGTGCAAATGAATAACAAAAACCTTTTCCCCTGTGTCATGCCATTAAAAATATACAGATCAAAACATGTTAGACATTATGTAACTGTTAAAGAAATGGGAGATAACAGATATTGATTCTAGGCACCCTGAAATATTTTGCACTTTAAAAAACTTTTTTTTTTTGGTACTTGCTTTATCACTTGAAACAGTGTTCTGTAGAGCTGTGTGAAGATCTCATTGCTGTCCTCCAGCTCAAAGCAGATATTGTACGACTTCACCCAGGCAATATTCTACAAAAATAATACAGTGTCATTGATAGCGTGTTTTCTGAGCTGCTACTCAAGGTCTTCATTACTTGTTTCATCTTCTAGCTAACAACAGTCTGCATCACCTCAGACTGTCACAAATTATTCACATTTAAAAAATGAGAGAGTGAATTTTAGCAGCTGCTAGTTCCTTGGAGAAACAAATTCTAAAGACTCCTTACAGCATCAAGCATAGACACAAGGAATACATTTGTCTTAAACAAAAGGAAACAAAAATACTTATCTTCTAACGTAAACTTAATGGGAAGTCTGGACCCAACATAAAACTTGACAGAAACATGTAAACTTACCTCAAGCAAATAAAAGTATCTGTTGAACTGTGCGCTTTTTGTGTCTTCTAGTCCCTTCAGCTGCCTTGTAATAAACATAAATATATCCTGAATCGCAAAAGAAAGAATACAGACACAGAGTCTTAGACCTGGTGCTGTAACAGAAGATAAAGACAATGCTTTTTCATCCTCCGAAAATGTGTTTTTCTCTCGGCGTGTCTGAGAGAATCAGGTTTGGACTGGCATTCTGAAACCGAGCAGAAGAACTGTACCTTCAGTTTGTCTGGCGATGTGTACGGAGCCTCTGGAGCGTAAATCCTGAAGATATCGGCCAAGCAGCAAGCCACAAGCAAGCGGACATCTTTATCGGGGTGCTTGAGGAAGAAATCGGAGGCCAAGTGCAGGGCCAGGTTGAGGTAGAGCTCCTTCTCCTCCTCTGAGTCCTGGTCCATGTCCATAAAGGTTTTCACAACCATCTAAAGGAAACAAAGAGATACCTCTAAGTATCAAATAAGGCAGAATGAACTCTGCTGACAGAGATTCCAGCAGCCAGCAGCCAGCAGCCA